CCCCCTCCTCCCCCTCCCCCTCAGCCTCCTCCTCCTCCTCCTCCTCCTCTTCTTCTTCGCCGTCCTCGTCTTCTTGCTCCTGGGCTGGCTCTTCTTCGCCTTCTGCATCTTCATCCCCCTCCTCCTCTTCTTCCTCTACTTCTTCACCATCTTCGGGTGGCAGCGGAGTTGGCACTGCCTGATAGTTCCGCGTTTGATAAGCTGGATTCGTTTTGGTCATGTAATTACTCAATGCTTTTCTAACGCGTTCAGCATCTTCGAACACGGTTGATGAGCGAGGGTAAAATTCTTTCGCGTTTGCAATCATTCGTTTGAAATAACTTTCTAGTTCCGCAAGGTTCTTGAAACCTCCTTTATTCAGTTTCTCTTCAATAGATGTCAAACAAATAGGCATCCGAGTTCGCTTATAATATTCTGCATTTCCTTCCCGGGGAAGCAGGTTCTCAAAATATGTCGCAACGAGCCGTCCACTGTCAAGCGAGGGTCCAGTTAGATTTGCTTGTCAAGTATTGGCATTTCATATCAGAAACACTGCACTTACCTTTTGTCAGCAGTGCGACGTATTTGCTCAAGAAAGGCGAGGCCGTAGGCTGTAGTTGATTCACGGGACTCGCCCTTGGAGAGATCGAACTCCTATAGTCAAATTCTTTTAGCGAACTCATCAGATCGCTTTACCACCATTCACGTGGCTTTGACCCATATAGCAAACATTGACTTACTGCTAACTTGCGACGTTTGGCAGAGCGATCATCCGCCTCTGTGGCCGAATGGCCGTTTGCCTTGCGCTTGCTGTCCGTCATGTTGAAAATCACAGACGCAGCGGTCGGGGCATCACAACCAAGCGAAAGTCAATTTGCTTCTTTCGGGTTGTCAAGTCGGATTGGTGTCTAGCACCTCGCCAGCTGTTAAGGGAGCTTGCGAAGACAGTTTAGATTGCACTCGACGCGTGATTGTGATGTCGCGTTGTCGTGAGGTACATGTGCTGCGCAGAAGGCTGCGGATTCGGAAGGATAAATCGAATACCGCGCAATTAGTCGTCGCAAAATTGTCTCGCAGACTGCCAATGATGTGCTGGCGCCCAAGCAGCCAAAAGGAAGCTTGGGATCTGGAATCTGTCGATGGTTAGGGCGACGGGGTTTGGGAGAGACCAGCATTCTCCAGTTGCTTTTCGATTTCAAGGTACAAAAAGCACGTACCAGGCAGCTCTGCGCTAGTCCAACCTTGGTAATAAGGCAACAAGGCAGAGATTCGTTCGAGGTTCTCACACATTCTCTTTCAGAACAGAAGCTCTTTGTCAGTGAAACATGGGGAGGAGTAATCTATTAGGGGTTTGTCGTCGCCAAATGATTGCTTTTATGTAAATGATAGCTTTCTACCCCTTCAGCCATTGACTATGATTTCCAGTTGCGCTCATACTTTCCAATAGCGAGGTGGTCCCTCATCGAAATTGGGGCTAGGCTGAATAAAGTCAAGGAAAAGTACTGGGTAAGTACTCGGCCATTCATTTATCTAACATTGAGTTTACCCAGTAGTACGTGGTCTCTCATGGATACCTTACTAAGTACTTAAGTAGGTATCTAGTAGAGATCAGTACAACATCAGGTTTGCGCCGCCTCTACTTGCACCGCGGGAAGAGCCAAGTGGGACCGATTCCCCCACCAAAGTGTGTCATCGGTGAATTTCACAGCCCATTGTCGCAAGCTGGCTGACTTTTAGAACCAAGGTCTTTCGACATCGTCACCCCATTGTCAGGTTCCAAGATGCCTAACGGACCACCCCCCGGCTATGATCAGGCGACGGCAGAACGCAATACAGGCCCTCGATCTGCTGGGCCGATTCGCAAACCGGTGCAGCCACTCGATCTGCCCATCATCAAGCACCTAAACACCAAGCGAGTGGTGCTCGCATCAGCTTCACCTCGGCGCAAGGCCTTGCTCCAACAAGTATATAATAAAAATGCGCCGCTATATACGTATAGAAGCTTACCTAGGAAACAGATTGGCTTAAACAACTTGGAGATCACCCCCTCCACAAAGCCCGAGGACGTGGATAAAGCAGTCTATGGACCCTATGAATATGTTGCTGAGACGGCTCGCCGAAAATGTCTCGATGTCTACACGACATGTTTAGAGACGCACCTTAAGTCGATACCGGACCCCGACGTCGTCATTGCCGCCGACACAATCATCGCCACCCGAGACGGCCGCATATTAGAAAAGCCCCGGAGCGAGGCAGAACACATCCGCATGCTGAAGCATATGCGTGATACAGAGATGCATCGTGTCTTGACGGCGGTAACGGTGCTGGCGCCTCGGGAAGATGCACAGCATCCCGGCTACTGCATTACTACTCACACAGAAGAGACAAAAGTGTACTTCTTCAGCGAAGCGAACGGCCTACCGGACGACGTTATTGAAGCCTACGTAAAAACCCGCGAGGGTGCAGACAAAGCTGGAGGCTATGCTATCCAAGGGATTGGCGGCATGATACTCGCTGAGAAGATTGAGGGCAGTGTGGACAACGTGGTGGGATTACCAGTCAGGCGATGTTTAGCCATGGCCGAAAAGGTCGTGTTTCAACAGGATGCGGATGAGTTTGACGATGGTGCCACCGATGAGGATGATTGATGCAGTGCAGAAAGACTTGTGTGATTGTCATTCGTGCCGGACACTCCCGAAGTATCCGCAACTAGCTACGCTTGTGACCTCGGACTGTCGACGGGCACAAGGGGAAACGATGATACCAGGATTAGTTGCGCCAGGTGGCACTAGATAGAGTGATATGGGAAATGTTGGTAAAATAGATCAGATCGGATCATCAGGAAAGCATGAAACCGAGGCTTCCGCAGAAATTAATATACATGGTGCATTACTTGTAGCACATCGATCTGGCTGTAGTTGACTTCCATCTATCCAACTTTAGAAAACTGGAGGTAATAGCGTGTGGAAGTGTCAAGGAATACCTAGCAGTTACACCCTGCGTCAATCAAGATATATGCCCGGCATCATCCGTTCACAAGATGGCCAGATCAGTCAAATCCAGGGCTCTCACGTCCCATTGCGCTCTTTTAAATGTTTCATCTCCGTCAATTCTACCCTTCCCCGGACACAGGTGGTGAGATGTCAAGTAGTTTTCTTTTGGCGAACCAGCAGGGATCAAGCTCCGAGGCCAATCTACCTAAGTACTTAAGTACCTACTTGGGTACTTATACGCCAATACGTAAAGTACTTTAGCTGGGTCAATTATGTTTAGATGTGGTACGCATAAGCCGTGCCTTGCTCCGCACCCTAAAGTACGTACTTAAGTGCTTATATCATGTACTACTTCGTACGCTGTTGTCTGTTGCTCCATATCCCGTTCCGCCTTCACAAGCAAGACCCGTGCGGCTAGCTGATGCATGTGCTCAATGCATAAAATGTGCATGTGATTTTGCATGGGGACTCCAACGACTCGGCGCCAACTGGCTTGCGCAAAGCCCCTTGGTAGTACTTAGTGGTAGATTGCAATGCCCCCCCACTAACCGAACCCATCCATGCCCCGGCCCAGTTTCCCGTCTCACATGAAGTCGTTCGTTGCTTGTTCCAACTCACTTCTGTTCCGCATCTGGCAAAGAAACATATAGCCGACTTGGTTCCCATTCCCACCACTGCCATCTATTCGTCATTCCTTTTATTCCAGGCTCCTTCCTTCCACAACAAAGCGAACCAGCGCGTGGCAAACTATTCCGTGGTTATTCATCCTCGTCCCTCTCACGCTCGCTCACGCCAACTGAAACAATGTCGTCGCCGAATAATACATCAACATCGTCCAGAGAGAATGCCGCCGCTGGTGCTGACGAGAAGCCTCGCTTGACTGAGGAGGAGAAGAAGCAGAATCACATTGCTTCAGGTATGGTGCCACATGACCTTATCTCTCCACCCGCCAACACCCAACATCCTGTATACTTCTGCTCGGCCGAATCAATGCTGCATGCATGCATTCATTTAGATTTGTCAATCAGATACCTTTTTTCCCTAGTCAAATTTTATTTATTTCTACTAACCTGCCTTGCTTTAATAGAACAAAAGCGTAGACAAGCCATTCGCGAAGGATTCGACCGCCTGACTGAACTCGTCCCTGGTCTAGAAGGCCAAGGCCGGTCCGAGGGCCTCGTGCTGAAGCGCACCGTCGAATATATGCGCCAACAAATGCAAGAACGTCGCGCACTTATTGAGCGCATCGAGCAGTCAGGCGGTCATGTAGACGACGAGCTCAAGAAGTTAGTTTGCTCCTCCCTTAACCCCTACCCTCATTTCTCCCATTCAACGTCCACTGGCCGAGCGAACGCTCCCAAGCCGAAATGCTCCTGTTGTCTTCTCTCCCACCGCCGTTTGCCATCTAACCATCTGTTAACCAGGGTGTTGAACGAACAGACTCATGGCCGCTCAAAGGGATGAATCCGGCTTATGCGTGTGACGATGGAATCTCTCAAACGTAACAAGGTGCCGACGGGCCTGCCATAAAGATCACTCCCCTTGCTTAATGAGCACTGGAGCACTGGAGGAGAAACTTTGACCGACCCATATACAAATATTACCTCCGGATGGCGAGCTTTGTGTTGAGGATACTTGCTCTAGCTATATCCCTGTTCTTCGCGTGTCTGTGCGATTTAACAGAAAGAGTGTATAGCCCCAGCTTCTGAACGATACCTGAGCCGAGGTCTTTGCGGGTCATAGCACATCATACCACAACCATCCCTAGTTGCCATTTCCGTCCCACATGGAACTGCTGATATTTTGGGGGAGGGGGTTCAGCGTTACGCTGAGCCAGGGGGTGGTGTTTCTACATTTGGCAACGGATAGTTTAAGAAGCAGATGATGTGCGACTGTTGTGATGAATGAGCGGAGGGTCACCACTACAGCATTTTTGGGCCGTTATTCGGGGATGTGATGGGTATTCTATTGTAGGATTATTGAGGCTATAGTTTACAATGTATAAATACAAGACATGTTTTAGTTACCCTATTCAAACGCGTCGGCCAATTCGCACATCTTGTCACGCATCTCCATGGGGCTCATTCTCTCTTTCCCGAGGCTGACTTGGCCATGCTTGACGTCCTCTTCGCCCACAACTAGGATCTGGCTGTAGCCGTTGATTCGTGCCTCTCGGATCTTGGAGCCGAGAGAGCGAGCACTATAATCGACATCGACTGCTAGGCCGGTCGGGTTCACGGGTCCTTCCGTGCTCGTTTGGCCTGCCTCCTTCTTCAGCCCGAGGAGGATCTCTTTGACTTCATCTGCCCAATCCAAAACGGGCCGTGATGTATTGACCGTGAGAATGATGGCTTGTCGCGGGTTGAGCCAAAACGGCCACTTGCCATCGTATGACTCAATCAGAAGGGCCATGAGCCGTTCCACCGAGCCCAATACCGCGCGATGAATCATGACGGGCCGCACAGGGCCGTATTCCGCCAACAAGACCGGATCATTCGTCGTCTCTCCCCGTGCTTCGTATTCAGGCGCGGGCGCCTGGTACTCGAGCGCGAAACGCTTGGGAAGTTGGAAATCCAACTGGATCGTGGCCGTCTGATGCTCTTTTCCGTCCGAATCCTTGATCACAATGTCAATCTTGGGGCCGTAGAATGCACCATCCCCCTCGTTGATGCTCCACTCCATGCCCGACGAGTCCAGCGCCATCTTTAAGCGATCCTCGGCCCTGTTCCACTCGTCTTCGGTGCCGATGAAGTGGTCCTTTGGTCGGGTAGACAACGCAAGTCTGTAGCCGACACCCAGGCGGAGAACGCCATATACGACCTTGACAAAGTCCAACGTCTTCTTGATCTCTTCTTCGACTTGCGAAGGGCGGCAGAAAATGTGGCCGTCGTCCTGGTGGAATCGTCGTACACGGGTCAACCCCGATAGAGCACCTGAGATCTCGTTTCTATGCAGAGGGCTAAAGTCGGCATATCTGACTGGCAATTCGCGATAGCTGTGGACTCTGGAAGCAAATATGAGGCAGTGCCCCGGGCAGTTCATGGGCTTCAGGCCGTACTCGTTGTCTGCTTCCAAGTCGGGCTCGGCTGGGCCATGGTCGCCTCCGCAGCACCCGCCTCCATCTTTGTCGGGGGTGCTCGTGTTTCCGGTCACGGTATACATGTCGTCGGCATAGTTTTCTAAGTGGCCCGACTTGGCCCAGAGCGCTTTCTTGTATATCGTTGGTGTGATGACTTCCTGGAAGCCATAGCGAGCGTACTGCTTGCGGATGAAGTCGATTAGCCGATTGAAGATTCTGGCTCCGTTTGGTAGGAAGATTGGGGACCCGGGGCTGTACGCGGAGGTGATGAAGAGTTCCTGTTGCAGGCCTATTTTTCTATGGTCGGGAGGTTCGCGCTTCTCTGGCTTTTGAGAGTACTGCCGGCGACAGAGACAGGCGGGACAGGTCCATCGCACGCGTGATATGCCCAGAGCCGCTTGTCTGGTAGCCCCTGAGCGTATCATGGCGGCGGTGGCTGTCAATGGCGGTCGAAGGCCACGATTGAAGCGCTTGGAGTTTGTCCGAGCTGGCCTTGTTGAGAGGTGAAGATGGAAGGGCTTCCTCAGCTCATTACTGGAAATGGAATGGATCCACTGACATCCATAGATTTCGTGCTGTGCTGGTTTAGGGGTCCACTGACGAGCAGAGGGCATGAGATTGCTGTCGACTTCAGACTTCATAGACTGCCTTGTGTATTCCAAATTTGCAGGAGATTTGGCACGAATACTAATTTGAACGGTCATGGAAGCTGGTACATGTGCCCTAAGTTCCTAATTGATTTGCCTTTTTTTTTTCCCTTTTTTTCTTTTTTTGCGTCTCTTGCAGTCAATGGTAGCGGTCATGGGCTGCGTGTGGTAGATACATAATTCGCCGGTGCCCGACAAGGTGCAGCAGGTCACCGCTGAATACCCTCATGTATGGTCAAATAATATACAGTCACATCCGAGACTTGAATTCGCCTTGAACAAGTCGGTCTACCAAGCCACGGCCAACTGCCGTGTTGTCTCGTGTTTACAGGCACGGATGCAGGTCAGCGAGGCTGAGCCAGGCTGGCTGGTTCTCGATAGCGGTTCAAGCGCTTAGTCCAGGTCAAGTTGGTGAGAGTCTTGTTTGACCCCTCCATTTTGTCTGAACCCCACCAAACCTGCCCGTGGGACATGCGTCCGTCGGTCAAGCTCAAAATTCAAGCTCTCGTGCTCCAACCCCACGGCGTTTGTTGGGACTAGGAAGAGAGTGTTATTTTTTTGCTCAAAAGGCTGTACATAGCCTGTTATAGGGAGCGGCAGGTGGTTAGTTGAACCGTCCTGGCAAAACAACCATGAGCTTTGCTATCGAGGTTCCTGGCGAGGCGAATCCCTTGTCCCTCGAAACGTTGTGCCACGCGTTGCAGGCTGCCACTTCGAACGACTTTGCGCAAAGGCAGACTGCCGGGCAACAGCTTACATCTTGGGAGCAGACACCGGGCTACTATTCGTCTTTGCAGGTAGGGAGACATTTACGCCCGCACATGCCAAATGAGGGCTGACCAGGTGCCAGGCCGTGTTCCTCGATAAGTCGATCCCGACCAACGTGCGCTTCCTCGCCGTTATTCAACTCAAAAATGGAATCGATAAGTACTGGAGGCTGTATGCGCATGCTAGGAATGGAATAAAACCGGACGAAAAGACCTTGATCCGATCTCGACTCTTTCAAGGAACAATTGACGAGGAAGAACGAAACCTGGCCCTGCACAATGCCCTTGCTGTGGCAAAAGTTGTGAGAATCGACTACCCGGCAAACTGGCCCGATGCACTGTCTCATACAATCGGCCTATTACGGTCCGGAAAGGATGGAAATCAGAAACATCTATACGGAACTCTTCAAATTCTTCTTCGGGTGGTGAAAGAGCTGGGAACCGCTCGCTTGAGGAAATCACAGACAGCGTTACAATCCGTCACACCTGAGATTGTCTACGTCTTGAATGATATTTATACCGAAAAAACTACACTCTGGTTATCATTCTTGTCCAGTAACCAAGGGTCCGGAGAGGATGCCAATGTTGCCATGCATAATAGTCTTTTGTCTTTGAAAATTATCAGAAGGCTTATAATCCTAGGATATGAGAGGCCGCACACCGACAAGTCAGTCGAACAATTCTGGACGGTTTCTCAAAATCAATTTGGACAGTTTCTCAACTTTGTTGGCCAGGAACCCACCATACCTCCCACCTACCAAGACCTTGTTGGCAAGCATCTTCTCCAGTTTACGAAATTGCATATAGACATGGCCGAACAACACGCAGCGAGTTTCTCGATTTTACCCAACTCTCTTCATCTTGTCCATGCGTACTGGGATTTGGTTTCCAAGTTCGCAGAAGTCTTTGACTCGTCAGGCGGCATCCGTCAAGGTTCTGGGGACGCTGGCTCATCCAAGGCTAAGGTTGAGGGGCCTCTGCAAGAACGGCTGGCGCTTAAAGGCCTGCTTTTGCTCCGAGCCTGTGTAAGAATTGCATTTCAACCGGTGCAAACCTTCAAATACCGGGCTCCCGAGACCAAGGCAGAGCAAGAACAGTCTAGAAATTTTATCAAAACAGAGCTTCTGAAAGACGATCTGGTCATTCAGATGGTTAACTCTATTATTACACATTTATTTGTCTTTCGACGCTCAGATCTTGAGGCGTGGGAGGAAGATCCCGAAGAGTGGGAACAGCAGGAGCAAAGTGAGGGCAACGCCTTCGAATGGGAGGTTCGGCCATGCGCAGAAAAGCTCTTTTTGGATCTGCTCACAAACTTCAAACAACTCATTATACCACCATTGCTTTCATATTTCCAATCTGCACAATCATCACAGGCCGACATCGCCACGAAAGAGGCTGTGTACACAGCAATGGGCTTAGCTGCTGCCCATGTTGTCAATGTATTCGATTTTGACTCTGTTTTGTCGTCAACGATTGTGAACGATGCTCAACAGCAAGGTGGCTTGCACAAAGTCTTACGGAGACGCATCGCTATTCTAATTAGCCAATGGGCACCAGTTCAGCTTGCAGATACCAGCAGACCATTGGTGTATCAAATTTTTCAGCATTTTTTGAATCCCAATGACGAAACGAATGATCTGGTAGTGCAAATCACGGCTGCAAGACAGCTGCGGTGGATCGCAGATGAGCTCGACTTTAGCGTCGAGGCATTTTTGCCATACACTTCTGACGTCCTCTCTCAACTCATCCAGCTCATCCAGAACGTGGCCGTTGATGAGACCAAGCTGGCCATTTTAGAATCCGTTCGAATCTTGGTAACGCGAATGGAAGAGCAAGTTTCACAGTTTGGCGACCAGCTAATGTCTGCACTTCCAGGCGTATGGGAGAACTCTGGTACCGAAGAATACATGATCAAGCAGGCAGTCATTGCTATTTTTGCGGCTCTTGTTATGAGTATGGGTGACGAGTCACAACGTTATCAGAACTTTATGATTCCTCTGCTATCAGAAGCCGCAAGGCCAGGGTCCGACATTCATGTCCATCTCATTGACGAGTCACTTGAACTGTGGAACGCAATTCTTATGCAAAGCAAAGCACCCCTTGCACCCGAAGTCATTAGCCTTGCGGAAATGGCTCTTCCTTTATTGGAGTACCAACCAGACACAGCATCCCAGGCACTTACGGCCGTAGAGTCGTACATCCTGATAGCACCATCTGCAATGTTGGAGGACAAGCTCCGCCGGCCAACTCTGGCCGCCCTCTCTGGCACTCTCAATTCCAAGAGCCGAGAGCAAGTTCGCCTGGGGACTGTTTGCATCGAGTACCTTGTCCGAGCAGCAACACAGCTCGGTGGGTCAAACGGAATCTCAGTCATTGTACAAGACATGCTAGAAACTGGCTTCATGAACCAAATCATGACGAATCTCCACGACGCATGGGAAGCACACCAAACAACCGGTCCTAACAGGAAGATTTCCAAGCTCAACACCATTACAGAAGGAGACTACCTGGCCATACTAGCACGGATTGCCCTGGCCGAACCCAACATGTTTGTACAAATGCTCACTGCATTCGGACCCCTCGAACAAGTGTGGTCTTGGCTTTCTGCGGAATGGTTCTCACACCTCTCCAGCATGGACCACCAAGAACGCCAAAAGCTGTACCTGCTCGGCCTCACGAGGCTGATTGAACTTCCGTCTCCCATGCAAGAGTTCACATTGTCCAAGCTCCAGGACTACTTCGACATGTGGACAAACGTCACCTCCGAAGTCCAAGAAGGGGAGTTGGGTGGTCATGATACACTTGTATGGGGCGAGCTGGAACCCTCAGAATACGATACCCCTAAGATGATAATAGAACGACAGACTATGGCCAAAGACCCGGTTCACTCAGTGCCGACATTCCCGTTTGTGAGTGCGAGGTTGCAGGATCTAGTAGCCCGGGTTGGTGGCGAGGCGGCGTTTGAAGAACAGTGGGCGGTGAATGTAGACAAGGATGTTCTGGAGAGATTTGGGCAGTTGGCAAACGCGGCAAGATAGCAAAATAGGTTTATGAAGACATGAGGTAGAATGCCATGAATCCAATAGATGTCATACGAGCTCCCAGCTCGCCAAACTAACTCATTGGCAAAACAGATCTCATGGCACATTGCGTATACAAGAACTTGACTCTTGGTTGTCTTGGCTGTTCCACCTTGACCGCAATTGCCAGAGATGGCGCAACTTTGTGGCTATCTGGGCGCAAAAAAGCCGGCCAATACCCTTCGCAAAGCACACCACACCCTCGGCTAGTGACTCACAACCTGGCTGTTATTGAATGGAGGCTGAAACAAGGGCACTATGAGGCCGCGGGAAGATGATATAATAACAGCAGTTGACTGCACTTTCTGGGCGTTGGCACTGTCCCTGGAAGCACGCGACGTCAAACCGCGTGGTGCGCGTCATGACTGTAAACAGCTGGGATCTCTCGTTGCAAAGAGCTGTCCGCAGCAGCTGGGAAGCGACGAGGTTCAATTGGTATCTGGGCTTCACTGCTTTTGGCGGGCCGCCGGTGCATTTTAAGATTGTACGTGTGCAAGACGGCTGTGTGTGCTCGGCCAAGGTTAACAAACAACGAGCAGTTTCGTGACAAATTCGTGGTGAAGCTGAGATGGATAGATGAACAACTGGTGCGCACTACACGCCGCAATGCCCCGAGTGTTTGTTGAATGAGAGATTTAACCGTACATTGACAGTATCAAGAGCTGTTTAGCATCTCGCAGGCATTATGCGGCCCCGCAAGCACCAAGATGCTCTATTGTATCAACCTCATCCACGGGGGCTTGCTTGCCGCCATCCTGGCGTTTCTAATATGGAGGTGAGTCGCAAAGGGGCCTTCGTCGTTGGCCAAGATATACAGGAAAGAGACACAGAGAGAGAGAGACTAAATACGCCTCGTCACAGTCTGCCCGGCGCATTGGGCATGTTTGGCCTGTCCATCGGCGTCTCCAACATCCAGGATACTCTACCGCGGGCGGTATACGCGCTCCTGTCCGGCCTCAATGCCGCCACCGTCGGCATAATTGCACTGGCAGCGGTTGAACTTTCCGGCAAGGCCGTCACCGACCAACTCACCCGGATACTGGTCTTCTTGGCGGCCACAGCGGGAATGCTGTACAACGCATTGTGGTACTTCCCGGTCCTGATGGTACTGTCCGGCTGCGCCGCCGTCGTACATGACTACCGCTGGCTTCACCGGCCGGTTCGCAACGTGAAGAGTCTGTGGGTGAGGCTGGGAGGAGCCTCACCGGAGCCAGGACGGGTCGTTGGTGAAGGAGGAAGCGTTCCTGGCGAGCACGACGTCCCTCCATCAGAGGACCCTGAGCCTCGCGCTATCCCGCAAGAATACCGCCTCGAGTTCTCCTGGAAGGTCGGGACGGCAATCATCACGGCATTCTTCCTCACATTCATCGTCATCATGGTCCTTCGTGGTGTTTTGCGCAGTCCGCCCATGCTGTTTAAACTATTTGCAAACTTGTACCTTGCAGGGACCATCATCTTTGGCGGAGGACCAGTCGTCATTCCCCTGTTGAGAGAATACGTCGTCGCAGAGGGATGGGTCAGTCCCCGCGACTTTCTCATCGGCCTCGCCATCACCCAGGCTTTTCCAGGACCAAACTTTAACTTTGCCGTCTTCTTGGGTAGTCTGGCCGCCATCAACAGCGGGTATTCTTCAGTGGCAGGCGCCATTCTCGGGTTCTTGGGGATATTTCTCCCCGGCATTATACTTGTACACGGGACCATGGGCGTCTGGAGCGCCTTGCGGAGCAGGCCGTGGGTGAAATCCGGGCTGAGGGGCGTGAATGCTGGCGCTGTCGGGTTGATCTACGCGGCTGTGTATCGCATATGGCAGGTGGGTTATATCGATGAAGGGTTTCAGTCAGGGAAGAGCCTTGGTGACGACCCGTGGTGGGTGGTGGTCACTGCTACGGCATATGTAGGTGGGAGGCATTTTGGGGTTCCCGCGGCGCTTGCGATTGTGCTTGGGGCCGTGTTGGGACTGGTGAGGTATGGTGTTGTTTCGGCTCAAAACTAGTAAGTGATATGGAATTTTATTGGAGGTGTGTCGTTGCGTTTAAATATTGTTGTTTATTTTACTTTATTTTGTGAAGCGATAGGGGCCATCCAGGTGCTCCGTAGTAGAATGAGGCTACGCATGTCATGATAGAAGGTACAGCATTCCAGCTGACAGTACTCCGTACTAGCTTCATTATGACGACCCTAACCCTAACCACATATCCCAAGGCTAACCCTGGCTCCTAACCTTAACCCTAACGCCTAGCCCGCTTCTTGGGAGCTGGGTTTATATTATACCTCGGACTTTCTAATATTATTTATACTATGACCCTATTAATTATTACCTGGGTTAACAGTCTTTTTAGCAATATCCCACTTTATATCTGGGGTCTGGTGTTTACTTGCTTTTGTATAAAAAGCCAGGACATTACTCTTGTGCTCACATTAGGTCAGCTACTTCCGCCCTCAAGAGCAGCCAGATCCCGCATTAATAATTGAGAGCCCAAATAAGAACTGCGAGGATGAAAGCTTCCGAATTCTTCATATAACAGAAAAAGAAGATTATTGTGATGCCAGAAATCTTTCTTAATACGATTTTGTCAAGGCGTTCTAAACGCCGCTTTGGCTTTACCACACCTTCATACTGTAAATGCGCTACGCATTCCTCCTCTTTATCGCAATGTTCATATAGCCATATTTTCAAGCCTGATCAGGTGTATTGGAGAGGGAAGATCGCCTAGCGCGACGGGCAATTCTCACCGAATCTGTGCCAGAGGAAAAGTCAAAACCCATCGCATTTCTCCATTATGCAAGCGAGACGCGAGCACTATCGAATTCTTTTCTACAGGTACCAAATCTCATATCGTACATTAAGCAATGCGTAACTACTACCATGAGAAAAGACAGGGGATTTGACTCCCATCGCTTCTCTTCTCTGAGTACCGTCTTGCGGGGTCCGGAAGCAATGTCTAAGTTCCTATCCTGTTTTTACAAAGTCAAATGCACAATAAAGCCGAGACGAGCGGTCAAGGTGTACATTATCCTTGCGCTGGGAGACCTGTCCTTTGAAAATACATTGCCGATGCTGGGAGCTTCGATAATGAGATTCAACCTCAAGATCAGGGAAACTTTGCATTTCATGGGCGATCTGCAACAGATGTACGGCGGTGGAGGAGTCGGGACACTGACTTCTTTCATTGGAACTCTCTATTGCTCAAGGACGAGGAGTTGCCAACATTGTCGCGACTAGATCCACTAGTAGGAGAGAACGGTCAAAGAGACAAGAAAGGGTCTGCAAGACCATAGTCCCATCCGTTTCTCTGCCAGTTAGATTGCCATGAAGGGGTTGGAAGCCAGTCGGGGGCGTTGCGAGAATCCTCCATATCCAGGTTTGCGGGCTGGTCAATTTCTCTTGAAGTATCTGAAGTTGAGGATAGCGGAGGGGGGAAATTGGTACACTGCGTATACATGCTATCTACTACAGATTCCATTAGCTTTCATGAATTACCATAAAACTCACATACGAGGCCTCGTACCTGACATGAAGCCTCCTGCTTCAAGACTGGGAGGGTCGTTCCCTGAGCTCTGTCCAACAGATGGTATAGCAAGATAGCTCATATATCTTGGCAAAAGATCCTGAAACCTATCCTGAACTTCTGTCTCGTACCCAAGACGCATGCAAATCTGCTCTAGGCTAAGACACGTCAGTAAAAGTCATCTGAAGACAATATATCTCGATTCGCAAAGATGCCGTACTTCAGGGTATCACCAGAGATAATCTTGATCATGCAAGGAATGGAAAGTGGAATTAGCTCGGGTGTATCAATGAGCGGAGAGGTATACTTCTCAGACTTTAGACAGTCCAAGAACTGCTGGGAACTCGATTTACTGTAGTCTGCAAAGCGACCATATTGAGCTAGTGAACGGCCACCTATCCCTGTTAGTTTTCACTTGTGGCATGCTTTTGGGTAGTAAATTCATTACATATCAAGAACAACTCAGACGCTCGGTCTTTCCAACCGCAAGAGTAGAGTTCAGAAATTCGCCGATTCACCCATACAGCTCCTCGCCGATATCTTTCCAGGCTTTTCTCTTTGACGCAAAGGCTCATGATGGCATCAACATCGCTCTGTGACTCGCCATTCTTTACCAAGACCTCGCAGTAAGAAGCTAGGATAACTTCCCGAAGCAAGAATATATTTGCCATGAGTTCGGAATGCTTTCGAAATTGACATGTGGAAAGGGCAAACTGATAGGCTGGTAAGAGGGTTGGGGAATAGACGGAAGATGATGAAAATCCAGAGATGTATTTGTCTACGGGCTCTAAAGTCCTGCCTGGAATCGTTGCGCCAAGAAGGGTAACCAAAACATGGACCATATCTTCAGCAGAGTTCAGTCCAAGGTCTCGACGCCTGTGCTCCCAGGAGGCAGTACAAGGAATTTCAAGCAGCAGCTTTTGCATTTCAACTTGCCATTGAGAGGGTCCTTTCGCAGTTTGAGGGGCCGTCGGATAGACTTGAGTGAGCTTCTTTGGTGGTGATGTCATTCTTGGATCGAATCGAAGGGCGTCGTCAAGTTGACACGATTCGACGCCTGTTAAAGAAGCAGGCTGAAGGATGTGATAGTTGAAACTGCAACTAGCAAAAAGGCTTTCGTAATACTCGAGTTTCTTCTCAAGATAGACGACGTAGTCTTCGATTGGTCCTGGGTGGTTGTCAACACGTCCAGGGGACATGTTGTTTGTGTAACAAGATGAATCATCTATAGTAGATGTGACACTGTGAAAGAAATACAAAAGAGATGCTCTAATTCTCACCGAAATTTGAAAAAGCTTGATCACAGATCAGAATAGAGACGAAAACGGCACATTGGAGTGAGTCCTGCTGATGTTGTTGGATAGGGATAGGGATGGCTCTGTTGATTGCAATTGCCAGGCGTCATAACGTCGGACACGATGTATGGCTCAACATGGCCGGAACAAGCAAAATATGAAGATCCAGATGAAAGGAAATCTGTACCAGTAGCAATAAGTAACAATGAATGTCATAACATCACAGAAGTGGGGCAGAGTGTTGGGGAGAGAGTACGACACCGTGATATACCGTTCAAAGTATCAGGAACTTTGATGACTATTTTCCTGAACACCTGATAGCTCATCGCTGTAGAGCTGAGTCCAGTACTGTGAACCACTGGATACTGTGCCGTATACAGCCTGGCGGATATTCGGCAGTACATGCTTCCTATATCAACGCCTGACATCAATCGGTGGATGTCTGAAGTCCAGTTCTAGGAACAGGCAAGAACCGACAGCCTTGGACACGCCAATAACAGCAACTCGAGAGTATCTACTGCTCATAAATCCGGCCTCGAGCGCCACAGGAGCTCATTAAGTTTCGGTATCATGCAAGACCCCTCCTCCCCTTTATGGGAGCAAGGATATCAGCAGGCAACGGCAGAATTTATTCGATTGTGGCTCGTTGAGGTGTGAGACGCGAAGTCCGGTCAGAAAAACGAGGCCTCAGACGCCAGCGCCGCTCCTTCTGTTTCTGTAAGTATCTTTCGCCGGGCGTACGGATACTCCGAGACTGCAGTTTCTTGGCTGGGCAACGGCAGATGGCGGCTTTACATGATATGTAAACTCAAGTACTTTGGCGGCCCACGCTACACTGGCCATGCCCTGTCTGTTACTGTTACTTGACAGCAACTGGAATCTTGCTTCATCCCAACCAAGTCGAACAAATCAGGTTGCCTGTCTTGCCACCCGGATCGCCGCCGGGCTGTCGGCAAATATCTTGCTGCGCGATTCAACTGATATGGGGCCCGTCGACGTGCCTTGGGCTGAATACCTGCCTCAGCTGGCAACGTCAACTTGCCCGGCAAGTCCTCCCTCCTTTCCTCACATTCGTGGGAGACCAATTAGATTTTATAATTTGTTTCCAAGCGCGCGAGGAGTCGTTGATGTCTAAGCAGCAAAAACTCAAGAAGCCTGGCGCCCCCGCCTCGCCCGAAAAATGTCTGGTACGTACTTGACATTTTAAGGAGGACAGAAGTCCTGGTCCCGGCAAAAAAAAAACCAGACTTCTTTCATCCTCAGCACCTCTAAATCCATCCTGGATACTAAGGAAATGACGACACAGCCGATAGCAGATACTGTCGCCTTCTGGGATCTTGACGTCGGAACCGAAAGGCAGGCAGCGCCCGTCTCTGACTCTGTCCAGCCATTAATCCACACGTCGGGAACCGTCGACATTGGCATTTTCGATGAGCAGAAAGATATCAGAACGCCTGTGAATGAGGCGGATGCTAAACCAGGTGGAAAGTATTACTGTTTGTTGGCTTGGCCTCCCCCCCTACCCTCCCAAAGCCCTATTCTCCTTCTGCGCCCCCAACAAATACGCAGGCTGACACTGACATCTCATGTTGTAGCCATTGTAAAGCTCTTCATCCGATTTGATGCTAGTGAGACATGGACTACGGCAACCGCATGGCTCTACAAGGCCGATGTCCTGGTCACTGCTGCTCACTGCGTCTTCAGTCACGGTCAGCAAGCAACATGCGTCAAAGCCTACATCGGTTATACTGCCGGTCCCGCCGGGCACCGATTCGTGAAACGGACTGCCGTCCCGGTCCAGTGGATGGACAGACAGACCGAGCAGCACGACATGGCTTTCTTACAGCTCGACAGCCCGTTCCAGAACGTCGTGCCAATTTCTTGTGACACGCCCGAGATCAGCGCACGACAGCACCTCACCGTCGTTGGCTATCCTGCAGATGTGTGCGCGCGCGGCGTGCCCGGTGGTGAAATGTATGAGATGAAGATAGACAGGGATATTAACCTCGAACACACAAGGTGCAACATGCTCAGGTACCAGGGCGACATCCAAGGAGGCGAGTACAAGCCCTTTGTTTTCCCCAGGGGGGTTTGAAGCTGACGACTGTATTCGCGGAAGTAGGCTTTTCCGGAGCTCCCGTCATACGAGATAGCGACTTTACCGCTGTTGGCGTCCACATCCGCGGGGGTTCCTTTAACTCGGCAGCTGTTATTGGCGGGCCCTATGGTATCAAGGCTCAAGCCTTTCAGGTGGTGCTCGAGATGCTTGAAGAGGGTGGCGGTGTCAATTCTGGCTTCCAGGTCGAAGTTGACCATGCCAGGGGCTGGTTAAAGTACGTACATGTACCGCGTAGTTAGATGTCAGGCTATGGGTCGTGGACGAAGGGTTCTAATGACAAATGAATTGGTTACGATTTCTCCAGTCAATCTCGGCTTAAACCCTCTTTTGGGGAGGCTCTCTGCTCGTTGGCATGGCAAAATCCAGAATTGGTAGCCTTTACACACACGAGTTTGGCAGTGACACAAAAGTGAGACTATGACTTTGAAATGTCCATCTGTGTGTTGATGAGGAACAAGGCAAAAGCTAGAATTAGTGAGGCACAGAAGGGTATCCTCATGACTGACCATAGACCCAAAGAGCCCGCGTCATATCCTCACCTCTTACCATACTTCTCCAAGGTGATGGTTGTGATGCCTAGTGGAGTGCAAAAATCCATCATTGACCGATCCGTCGAGGTAAAATCTCTCGTGCATCCAGTTGTGACAAAGACGGTATGCAATAAATGCAGGATAGATATGCAGTCGTATCCAGCCGCGAACCAGACTGGTAGTTGAGATTGGAGCATGTCAAGACTTTGCCCCTCCCGCTTGTGTAGAAGTCCCATTACAGGAAATCAAGTCGACGGCGTGACTGCTGGAGCAAATCAGCTTTTGAGAGAGCCGACAGGAGGGAACGGAGATGTCTGCCAGGGCCTTGACGGGTCGGACCAATGCTGGGATGCCTCGTCCAAGTTGGCAGTCTGTTGAAGCAGCAATGTGAATTGCTCGGCGGGCTCACTCTTTTTGCTAGGTGCGCTTACCCCTTTTAGTAGGTAAGTATTTATTATATTTAAACTCTTTTAATATATTTTTAAGAGATAATTTATAGTAAAATATATTTATTAATAATAAGATACATAGTAATATAGTAAAGTATATTTATTTATAATAAAACATTAGGGAAGTAACCAGATACCATCCGTCAAAGCCCCATGATATATGTATATATATGTCTGTCCGCCCGGTCCTTTTGTTTTCACCAGACTAGAATATCGCCAAAGATATAACGACTGGAATATCGCCCAAGATACAACGACTGGAATATCGCCCAAGATATAACGACTTCTCTTCCGCACTCCCCAAGTTACAGGTTCTGATCTTTGTGTGTCTGTCTGAATCTTCTATTTCCCACAGCCATGTCTTCGAGCTTCATCCACAATCCAGCTGTTCTAAAGCCAGGGGCGAACCCTCGCTCGACGGCCCCCAAGCCGCGCCGAGAGCAACTAGACAGTCAGCAGCCTACGACAAAATCCACTGATGTCTACTTTTGGTATTTCGACTCGACTCCAAGCGCTGTACCATTGTACAGCCAGAACATGCCATCCGTGCGCGACCTCAAAACCAATGGCGTGGAGTCGGTTGTGAATACCATCGATGGAAGGACGTCAGTCGACCTCGCTGACTACCAGACCGCTGCCGGAAAGTACCGTGGTATGTCGGAATCTCCCGAGCCGCATCGCAACCGCCGACTAATCTGAGGCATCAGCCGTTGTAAAGCTGTTTCTCCTCTACGACAGACAGGTTACGTCGGGCGTGACTCCCAAGGAAGCTGCTTGGGCTATAGCCACCGGCTTCCTTGTTTCAGGAGACGTCGTCGTGACCGCCGGGCACTGCGCCTTTGACTATTCTCGCAACCTTGGTCGACTTATCCAAGCGAAAGCCTATGTGGGATACGGGTCGAGCTCGGTTGCCTTTCGGTGCGGCACGGCTGTCGCAACCACCGACGGATGGATCAACAACGATGGAAGCGAACCTTGTGACGTTTCGTTCATCAAGCTCGCAAGCCCATTCAACGCTAACGAGGTCAAAGCTTTTTACAATCTCGCCCAGACACCGCTCCAGGACAAAGGTGCAATGCTGGGCGTTGTGGGCTACCCCGGCGACATCGTAGATGCCAAAGGAGAAAGGGGCGCAAGCATGTACGAGATGTTCAAGCCAACCGACTACAATCTGGCTGATGCAGACCAAAATATGTTGCAATATCAAATCGATACATACGGAGGTGAGAAGAAGAAAAGGCACCCCCAGATAGCTGTTGCTCGAGAGTAACCATGCGCGATAGGAAACTCCGGATCGCCCGTATTTGGTCAGCAACCCGTATCTGGCAAGCCAGAAACTTTTGACGTCGTCGGAGTGCATGTTCTCGGTGGCTATTCGTACAACTCGGCGTCGGTGATTGATGGAAACTATGGGAACCGTTGTCATGCATATTACAATATAGCCTCATCCCTCACCAACGCTGATCATAAGCCTGATGGTTCCACGCAGACCGACAAGGATCACAGGCCGTGGCTCTGGATGTGCTCTACCGTGACTACGGAGGCGTTTGATGACCAAGTGGGCGCCGGGCTCGACGACACTATAAAGCAATCACAGGCTGTCGAGGCCGATATATCATCTGCGATTGTAGATTGGGATACGCCCCTTACGTTCGGATCAAAGGCTGGGCCCCAAATGGCCATCTTGGCCTCTGCCGCCATTGCAGCAGCTGGCAGGCTTGCCGCTGACAGTGTCAACGGGTCCAATGTCGAGTCGCTAGCTCAAACCCGTCCATATGATGGCGTCCTTGGCCGTGCAATCCTCGCAGAATCGGCCTTGCAATACTTTTTCTCTCTGACCCACAATGATCAGGAGGCATATAGGGAAACCATGGGTCCGCTGGTGGCCGCTCTCAAGCCCTTTGTGACGAAAATCGCCCCCAGGATTCTCAAGGGGACGTTGGAACCTAGCATGAGACTCCTGCTGTCAAATCTCGCAGGAACCATCGACAGCAAAGCCAAACGCAGCACGACTCGTCCGACTGAAGCCGAAAAGGACACCGGTTTCGGACGCAAGCTGTCGCATGATGAAGACAAGTTCCTTCGCGGATTGATGGCCGAGGTGGACAAAAAGGCCATTGAGTCGTTCTTCACCACGCTGACGACGATTGGGGATGTCGTCGGAAGTGCTTTCAGAAAGGCTGGCCCAATTCTCAAGGATGTAGCCAAGATCGGGCTGGCGTTGCTTCTCGGAACGGAATCTGGAGGACTCGAACCCACGTCCCTTGATCCTCTGGCACACAGAGCAATCCTGGCAGAGGCTTGTTTGCAGACATTTGTCGAAATCCAAGACGATGCGACCAAGAAGGAGATTTACCCCAAGATGGTTGAAAACTTAAAGGTGTTGGGTCCCATGCTGATGAGAGCCTCGCCATTTGTAGCCAAATACATTGCTCCGATTGTGGCAGACATTCTGCGCGAGGTCAACCCCCAAAACAAGACGGAATTTTTGGATTTCACCTATGGAAAGGCGTAGGTGGGTAGATGGATTTGGGACCAGACTCACTCGTTTATTTAGAAGAAGATAAGCCGGCACGTCAAGTCTTTTGTTCAAAATCAGGTCGCTCCTTCAAGGCACCAGCCTGCCAGTATTTGGTTTACGTATAATACTACGCTGTTTAAGTAGAAATTTAAGCTTCTCTCGTTACTAATTTATCTGTATAATTATTATTTTATAAAAGGATATAATCGCCTTCGTATTTATAGTTAAGTATAATAGCGCCCCAGGGTATAAAGTATTAGGAGAAGAGTATAAAGAGTATAATAAAAATATAGCTTTAGCTAATTATTATATAAATATACTTAAATATATATAAATATACTTAAATATATATAAATATACTTAAATATATATAAATATACTTAAATATATATAAATATACTTAAATATATATAAATATACTTAAATATATATAAATATACTTAATAATATAAGTAAGTAATAAAAAGTAATAAGACTTTTTTATTCCTTTAAGTATAGTTCTTCTTTACCCTAGTATTTAAATCCTTTATCTAGGCCGACATCTTTATTGTCCATGACCAGCTGGGCCTCCCACCAATTCCTTCATCGATACCAAGCGTCCAGTTCCGCAATTTATCAGCCGACAGCCGGGTGAATTCACCAGCCCCAGACATGGCACAGTCAAGGACGTGCTTCGGGAGCCGCTCGGGTTGGTGGTTATCGTTTTCGCTGTAGGCTTCATAAATGTTGCCGTATTTTGCTAGCCAAGAGTCGGTGTCTATAATGTGTGGCTTCCCTCCCCTCTTGCTGCAGTCTTCATCAACTAGTGGGAAAACACTAAAGTCTGCAAATTGGACGTTAGTCAATGATAATAGTAGAGAAGGGAAGCTACACAATACACATACCTCTGCGTGCTATTGCCTTGAAAGAGGGGGGGTTGACCACAAAGGTTCTCCTGCCTCCGGACAACTTGAGACCTACTCGTTCCATCCAAGATCCTTGTCGCATATCGACGACGCCTCCAAAGGTCAAAGACTCCCAGCGCCGCCCAGATTCGCCTACCATTGTGTTCCCCCAGCCCGCGTAACTCACAGCCGGGGGTGTATTCGCATTGGGATCGTAAAGAAGGAAGGTTGTAAACACATGGCATAGCTCATGGGCGATAGTAGCACCGATTCTAAACGATAATGTGTAGAACCTGTCCCGAGCATTTTGATCGTTGCTATCAAGTAGGGCTGCCTGTCTGGCGTCGATTAAGCGATCCACGAGCTGGATATTCGTTAATTAGGGTCTTTGTTTAATTGTAATGTAGAAAGAACGTACTATACGGTTGATCTCAATGGCGCCGGCATGGTGGGGGGGGAATAACCTGTCCTGAGGGACCTCCCATGTGCCTTTGGTAGTTCTTCCATTCGTAGCTGCTCTCATATCGTGGACTAGGAGGACAGGAAAGTTTTCTGTAATGCGCTTGAGGTAGTCTTTGGTATGTTTCTCAATGCCTTTGGCATCTCGGCAACGTTGACTGGGGTTATTGCGTAGTGTCTCCTCGATGATCTGCTTTCCGGTGTCCATAAGACCCGAGAATCCCGTAGAGCTGTGTAGTATATCTATCCCCAGTTGAGCCGTAGCAGCAACGGCCTCGAAGACGGGATCTTCTATCTCTGTGTTTTTGAAATTCTGATCGCATGGGACACGAATGGAGATTCCAGCGAGTGTCTCGGGAAGCTCGAGGTTGCTAGAAATGCGTCGAGGCTGAAACTGGGCAAAAGACCGCTGAATAGGCAGGGACTCCTCTCTCTGAACTTCCCTCCACTGGACCGTGGCAGTTCGATTTACCCGACGTTGAGACATGCTCCTGCCTTGTTCGTAAGTATACACTAATATAACACGATATACTATACGATGCTATAATATATACTCTTAAAGATATGGGTCTAATAACATACCTTTTACCCCCCCAGTTTGGGGGCGTGCTTTGGAGAAACGATAATTCTTTTGTAAAGGTGATCAATGAGTAAGTGGATAGAGAAGTAGCCTTGGAAGGTGTCGTGAGAATCGATGCCTCCGGGTACGCATCACGCATTTATATTCTTCTTGGTCCTCTGAACACTTGGACATACATGCTGATACTAGCATTGAACTTGACCTGTACGCGCCAGTCGTCACAAATGTTGGTTTACGGCAAATTTCAAGTAGCATGGACGGATTCATCTAGAACGTCGACTGGTCCTACGAAATGATACAACTCTACACTCATGGGACGAACAGTTAACAAACACCCTTATTTTTGGCCTGGATGCAGGCAAGAAGCAGCTGTTGGCCGTGTTTTGCGTCCACCACACGCTACCAACACACCAACACAGCCACACATCATCAGATTCATCGCACCATGTATTGCCGTGCGCCCGACCTTCTGGTGATCACAGCCGGCCTACACAAAGGGGCACTGGCCAGGCAGACCAGTGAATCCCATTCTTGTCAAATACAATTGAAACAAACAAACATTGAACCGAGACGGCTGCCTCCGTAGCTGCATGCAAGCAAAGCACGCGTCATTCCATGACACATGCCTGGCAGTAACGGGGCCGGCGCTCACCCAACTGGCAACACCCAACAACGGCACCTCCTTCTTTATTCGCCAGCATCCCCTCTCGATCCGCCCTTCAGATGTTGATTTCTCAAAAGACCTAAAAGAGAGGTGTAGCTGTGCATTCTAGGAGGGCAAAAGCCCAAGAATACTGCGCTCGTACAACAACACCGTCCAGAGAGCGTCAAGATTCAGCACCAAGATTCCATTCCGCAACATGGCGACTCCCAGGCCGGCAAACTCAACAGTCTCCGTGTCCACATTAGATCCGGATCACTATGCCATATTTACACGGGCTCTTTCAAATGTTCTCTCTACGCAACTGGCAGAGTTCACGATGGCCCAGCTTGTCGATGGACTCCCGACAATAAACGTCTACCGCGAAGGGTACTCGAGGAGGAACCTGGGTGGCAATCCTCTACTCCCCCATGAGTCCCTCTGCAAGGGAGCCATGGAAAGGACGAGGGCTTTTCGTGCCGAGTTTGACCCTTCTGTTCTACAATTTAAAACTTCAGTGCGTATAGCGCAATGCTTACGGCTTCAAGGGAAATTGTGCAGCTAATTCAAGGCAAACAGTTGGTGCAAGCATTCCAAAACGCTGATCTGGGAAGCCGACAATTTGACTTGCGACTCATCGAAATGGTGGCAACTGCAGTCCATGCCATAGCTGTATACCTGTTCAATCTTGAAGAAAAGTCACACAAAGGTGATATTCAGGGCGTCGTCACATACGTGGAGCCTGACAAGACATATGAATGGAGGCCAGGAAAATGGACCACGCGCGAGGCTCTACCAGCCTTTGCTTCAATATTCTCACATGCGTGTTATACATTCCATGAGAAATATCCAAACGGCGCGGCGGACATGGCAGGCTATTGGGCAGAGGACAGAATCTTTGGCGGCGTCATACTCTTCGACAGGGGCAAGTCAGGGACAGAAGTAAGCACCCTCCACCTACCATTACTCTTTTTCTCGAAAACTAACTGGATTCCCAGTGCAAAGATGTATATATACACTCTGGAAGAGTCCGGTGGACTGTTCGCATCTGGAGACCGCTCGAGACCCAGTTCAAACAAATGATACATTTTCTCAAAGTCGGTCCTCCAGCCTCCCAATGCCCGTTTCCTCTGTACGCAGATAAGAAAGTTCGACATCGATATGATGATTATGACGCCATGGCATGGCATAATATCTATCGCGATCCATGGGAGAGGGTACTTCCCCCGCAGAAGAACTGGGATGCTATCAGGAGGAACACCTTTGACTACCCAGAACTTCAAGAGCAAATATTCGATAAAATTTCACATGGGCCTTTTTATACCATTACACGAAATGGAAACACCTTTTTGGACGTAAGGAATCTAGATGAGCGGAATAAGCAAGACAACGCAGAAGCGGCTAGCAATCCACGGAAACAAGGCGAAGAACAACCTTGTGAAACTATATCCAAAGCAGGCAGAGAGGTCGATGAGCCCCAGGGTAAAGAGCCCGAGGCTGCAGAAGTCCAAGTCACGGAGCCGGAGGCCGCAAAAATCGTTGATGAATCAATCGAAGCAGATGGCTCCCGGACCAAGGAGTACAAATCAACAATCTCTGGGGCTGAAAATCCTCAACTTATCGATCCATCTGCCCATGAAATCCTCACAAACAAGTCCGAAATTGCAGCGTTGGAAATTGCCCTACCACAGCTGAAGGACGACCCGGTATCAACACCCGCGGTGAATGACTCTGGGACTAAGGGGAAGGAAGTCGGCACTGTTGAAACGGACATGGTTGAACCGACAAAGCCCACCTTGACTAAATCAGGGATCAAGGAGAATATCGCTGTTAATGAACCTCGAGATAACGGACAAGTGAAGGGAGAAGTCAAGAGACGACATTTCATCAAAGATCAAGACACAAGTCAGTAACACATGTTTGATCGGCAAACGAATAACAGAGTGTATGAGCGGGATCCTGCTAAACAAAGGCCTTGAAGATGACTGGGAATAATATACATATGCAGAACTCTCAAACAGCAAGGAAATTATTTTAGATACCGACAGATAGCCAGGTAGCATGATTGATTTATAGCAGTTTTGGATAGTCTCACGTCACACCGGACTAATAGCCAGAACAGATAGGTTTTCAAAATGCAAAGGTACAGAAGCAATATTTCGAACCTGGAGTGCGTCAAGACCATTACTTGTCATCATCTACAACTTGTCGCTTGGTACATTTACAAACGGCTACCGCCTTCTTGTGGCACCTTGACAACAACCTTTCCCCAAGTCCCACGCCCCGACAACGCGACCAGCGCATCCTTGACTCTATCTAATCCGACAAACTCCTCGTCTGTGAATTCTGTTCCCCGAAGCTTGCCCTCCTTGACAAGCTTTGTGATGCCCTGCCATACGACGGGAATGGTTTCTCTCTCGTTGATGCTGTACGCGCCCCAGTGGATGCCCACGAGAGAAATGTTCTTGAGAAGAACCTTGTTCATGGCCACTTTTTCGATGGCGCCGCCGGCGAAACCAACAATTAGAATCCGGCCGTTCCAGGCAGTGCACTTGGTGGACTTGTCGACCAGCCCAACAGGGTCGTAGACGATGTCAACTCCGCGACCCTTCGGCGTCAGCTTCTTGACTTTGGCAGGCCACTCGGGGTCCTTGTAATCGAGGACGTGGTCTGCACCAAAGGACTTGGCAACTTCTAATTTTCTGGGCGTGGAAGCAGTGGCAATGACTGTAGCACCAAACGCTTTTGCGACTGTAAAAAGGGCGTTAGCTCCCAAATGGTGCGTTCTGATATGTGTCGGCTTTGGAGAGACGGGCAGCGAACCTTGAACAGCAGCCAAGCCAACACCACCCGCGGCGGCGTGAACCAAAACAAAATCGCCCTGCTTCACATTGGCTCGGACTACCAAAGCGCCGTAGCTGGTGGGAGCGGTGATAAACAAGCCGGCTGCCTCGGTGAACGACCAGCCCTCGGGCACAGGCAGCATAGACACCTCCTTGGCAACACACTTGGTGGCGTATGCTCCCTGCGACGCGCCAAAAACCCGAGCTCCCTTGGGAAACCTGGGGTTCTTGGACCCCTTGGGCGTGGAGATGACGACACCAGCGAACTCGGCGCCGGCAATCCATGGGAAAGCTGTCTCGGTAAGCAAATGGTGAGGCTTGCCCAGTCTTGGCAAACGGGGGATACATACGTGGCTGGTTCTGGTACTTTCCAGCAATCTGGAGAACGTCGAAGAAATTGGTCGCAGCGGCGCGAACCTCGATCAAATACTCGTCATCTTTGGGCACGGGGTCCGCAAGCTCAGACACCTTGAGCTCTGTTGGAGACTTGGGCCGCAGGTTAGTTCGCCGGATCCCCTCGGTGCATGATGTGAGCGGGCTGCGGTACCTTGACGTATTCTTGAACTTGAATGCCCTTCATTTTCGATTCAATGGGCTCCGCTCTAGGAATAAAAGATGACGGGAACTTATGGGGACGAGGTTCAGTTGGAGGTGGCCGGTGATGGGCGGCGATCGGAGCGGAGGCCCGGGTTTATGAATATGGTGGAGAGCCGAGGCATCCCAGCGGCGTTACCGAAATACCGAATAGCGCAACTGGCCACTGAGACAGCTCCAGGTCCAATGTGTGCGCGCTGGATCTGGGGATCTGGGCGGCTCCGGCAGTGGGAACCCGCAGTGCCGCAGTGCCGCAGGGGTGGTCAGGCCCGATAATATTGCCTAGATAGGAAAGCTGCTCCGGCTCAGAGATGCCGGGCGCGACTCCAGAAATGCCGCCTTGAATTTTTGTCATGTTGGACGAATGAGTGGTTGCGTCATTTTTCAAGACGACGGCTCATACTCTTTTATCTTGGTCGCACTATGTGCTTCCCAGAAAGCAGCGACAAGGGTGGGTGGTTTAAAATCTAAAATGCAACATTTTGTTACCGTCTCCCACCTCAACCGCTCAACATGACTTGCAAGTAAGAATCTAGCCCCGATCTAGATTTGAATCGCCTTGTCCGCAAGTCATCTATGGCTATCTGATGTGCCAACCATTACCATTGCTAAACGTAGGGTCCTAATAACTGATGAAATCATGCCAAAGTCCTCAGACGAGCCCGGCTTTGGACAATGGGAGACGTAGATGCGCCATGTATCTATCCCAAAGCCACTTCTCTCACTAGATTCATGCTCCCTTCAGATGCCATGACACTTTTATGTCTATAGTTCGTGTTGTGTCAGATAATCAATCTGCATGCGGGATTGTCCATTACCTCCCTAAATTTCATCTCCGCCGTCCCTTCACTTGAGCTGAAAAACCAAATCCACAGCATTCTGATGACTTATTTTCTATTCCCCCTTTCAAGGATGTGGATAATGGATAATAATTGCCAACCCTCACCAGCTTGAAATCTCTGTCGGCGGTGATGGGCCAAAGTAGCAATTTATCAGTGTATTGCTGCAGGGTAGGGTTACTCACGGTTCTGCCCAGTCGGGTTCCAGGGACTATTCGAACATTCAATACAGACAGTGGTACTGAAGGAATGGAGTGGGAATGTGTGTTGTTTGTAGGCTAAAGTTGTTGTTGACCAAATGATCAATGTCATGTGATGTACTCCGTGCAGGTCGTTCATGATGGGAAGGTGACAATCATGTTTGGACGGCAGACCCGCAGAAGCGGCGCCTCTTCTTTCTCTTCTCTTGGTCTGCGCCTACCGGCGGCGCATGTGTCTGCCTTGGCTACCATCTACCCAACATCCATGCTGCAAGATTCCAGCATCGCTGACCCCCCCCTCGATTCCACGTTGGGAACAAGACCATGCTGGACAGAGGTACGGAGCGCGCATTTCGAGTTGACCTTTGCTCGGGGAATGCGGGGTGACTGAGGTCAGCGAGGTGATTCCTACCGAGCGCGCAGTTTGAATCCCAGAGACAAAGAGGCCTGGCGTGACGCGAAAACCCTCATCGCCATCTCTCCGTACTTCAATACCGGTCGTATCGTCAACCTGGGGGACTCGGCCCAACAATTCCTCGGGAGGACGGGGTAGGACAATCTGGGCTATCTCGATCATTCTTCAATCACACCTCTCTTGCATCATGACAGCGACCCTGGTCGGCTGGTCGGCCACGCTGTCTGCCTTGCTGCTGACGCCCTGCCAGGGTCTGGCCAATAAATGCATGGCCGCCCCGGATCTCACAGCCACGCAGCGGGAATCGTTCGATTGGCTGAAGGGGGGGTTGCCCGCGTATCCGTCATCAAGGTTGACAAGCCTGGCTCTGGATGGGGGATCTGTTCGTCCCTGGGCCTTGTCCCTCACGCCCTCAATTGGGCTGTGGCTCAAGTCCTACGGCTCTGCGGCAGGAGTCCTACATATGCAAGCCGGCGAGAGCTGGGCAAAGGCCTCCCAGGACAATGGCCAGAGCCACCACAGCCTGGTTTCCTGTATCCTCATTCTTCCCTGGTTGACGGACTACGGCCTGAGTTAAACACCTGTGGCTACGACCATGTAGCGAGTCTTTTCCCCTTTTATTTTTGGCGTCAATACCTTACCTTGAAGTCTTGGTTGGGTGTGGTCAACCTTTCGTTGTTCTTCGTCTGAGCATCTGTTGCCACTATGGAGAGCGGTAAACGTTCTTCATTTGACGAGATTAGCATGACGGCCTCGGCCATACGAAGATTTACTCGTACCCCTACGAGCCATCGATTAAGCCTCGGACGCTCAACCACTGCCTCGATATCCTCATCGTCAATCAGGTCCTTTGAGTCTGAGAAGCAGCCGCCATGTGTTTATGAAACGTTGGTAACCCGCTCCATGCAGTCTTCTTAGAACAGTTCTCCGCAGGGCTAAGAGCATATACTGATGAAAGCCATCTTCAGCACGCGTGACACTTCGTCGGATGAATGCGCTCTGCATAGATTCATTGTATGGGCTGCAGTCAAGCGAAATGTTTGTCCCAAGATGACCGCCGAGGAGCGTAGGGAATGCCCTTTGCTTCGTTGCCGAAAGCGTTTCCCCAACCATGAGCTATTGCTTCAGCACCTCTATGATTGCAAGCACCTCGAGTCTGGCGAGTACTGGTGCTATGACTGTGGCCAGGCTGAGACGTTCCATGAGATCAATAAGTGTCGACGCTGCCTCGGCCATCCTTCGAAACGAAAGAAGTTGCTATCGCTGGCAAAGTCTGTGTTTTCATCCTTGGGAAGACCCAAGTCTCCCATTCCAACTCCTTCGCCTCCCAATCTTGACATTGAAGACGACCCGCCTAGCTACGATGGACTTGTTCACGACGGACGCCCTACAGAGGCCCATAGAGGATTCGAGCTGCAGTCGAATGAAATTCACGAAATTGACTCGAGTGAGGTCGTGCTTGCTCCGATTCCTGAGGATGGGGAAGCTTCCCAACAAGACTACTTAAGCCGGTCGTCTTCCACCTCCTCCGCATATACCGCTTGTACACAGCCTCTATCTGTTTATCCTCGAAATTCTATAACCAGGAACAAGTCCCATGTGAACTACGAAGAGTATATAAATTGGTCTTCGTCACCGCCCATTCAGACTGTTTCCCCAGCCGACCTTGCAAAGCCGAACACAGTGAATACGTTTGCTAAGCCAGCACTGCAACTCAATACAAGAGCAGCCCTTGACTTCTCTCGAGCCCGATCGCGACGTCGAAGTAGGAACCTGCAGCCGAGCTCATCAGTCAGATCAACCAGTAGCACGACGAGCACGACGAGCACGAACAGCACGAACAGCACGTCGTCCATGGCCAGCTGCACCATTTCTCCCATGTCAGCATGGTCTGGAGTTTGGGGAAATGGTATTGGCTTTGAGTCGGCCCTGACTTCTCCCGCAGATGAAGTGCCAAACCCGGACGATGTCTTCCCATGTTCGCAGCCCTTGCCAACTCATCCGGAGGTTGATGATGTGAACATGACCTTTTCGCATTTTGTGGACGGACCGACTGGCCTAATAGGCTTGACAGAGCTCCCTGCTGATATCCCAATGGGGCTGGATCTCGTGGATGCCAACCACCAACCAAGCGCGCCTTCGACCGTCCCTCTTGTGCCTTCTCCAGCGGAAAGCTTGCACCCGGAAAGCCTCCAAAACGAGAGCCAACAATTACAGCATCTTCTTGCAGACCTCAAGAGCCATGCTCAGAAACAGGCTAGCCCTCATGAACTCCTACGCTCAGCGCGAGATACATTGAATCTCCACGTGTCTGGTTCAGTAAAGAAATTACAACCGTTGAACCATGATGGGAAGAACCATGTGGCTTCACGCTTTTGCAGTATACCAGCGAATTCGGTTTCCTTGACTGGCCTGGAGACAATGTCAGACATTTTTCAAGGACAGCAGGTGCAATCCTCGGCGAAGATGTTGTGCTTTTTACATGTCGTATATTCGCTTTCCCTCGTGATACACGAACAAGATGCTGCAAACTGGTTGACGAAATTATTCAATCAGGCTGTATCCTATTGCTCTTGGATGACGGACGAGGACAAGTTTGCATACCTGCAAGTCGTTGAATTCCTTTGGAAGCCTGGCGATGTGACTGATGAAGATTTGGTGCACATTCGACAACAATGCCTCCCTGAGCCCTCGTCTACACCAACTGCCAGAAAAGGCAAAGGACTCGCTACCCCTATCGACCCCAACAACGACCCATTACTGTTCATTTCGCAATACTTCTTAGACGGTATGGCTGCTGGATAATGAGGTATGGACCTGTGAGTACAAGCTGACGACCTTGTAGAGTTAGAATACGCCGCGCTGCGAAACACGACAAAACCAGAAATCCAAACATCCAACCTCTGTACAAAACATCTGAAAGATACCAATCTTGCCACGATGCAAGACTCTCCGTTTGTAGACGCAGCAAAGAGTTTGGTTCTCGCGTTGTCTCAACAGTATCACAATGCGGGCGGGTTTGTTTCAGGTATGAAGGAACTATTGGATCGAATCGAGTCCAATCACGTCTCTACAGTTCGCCGTCTTGAGCTTGAATTGCTACAGTCCGGAAAGGTAAGATGATACGAGGTTCCGGCTGCCAGCGTGCTTGATGTATGTGCTGACCATCTCCACAGATGCAATTGCCGCCGGACTTGTACTTTGATGTATTTGTTAAACAAATCCGAACCCGCATCGACTCGCTTCAGATTCAGAATGGCCTTCACTACACGCCCAGATTGCAATATCACAAGCTTGGTATTGAGTTAATGGCATCTATCATGCACGGTTCTGATGTCCCAGTGTTGGGCATAGACTTGGTCGAGTCACAGCTCGATATATCAAGTCATGGCATATCAGAATTAGAAATGCCAATGGACTTTGCCTTCGACGATTTAGTTTCATTCCAGCCTGGTTTGCCAATCGATTACGAGTCGTTGGGTTCTATACACGCCGCTGATCATACACCTGTCAACGAACAAGAGTGGCTGCCCGCGTCCGACACTCCATCCACACTCATCCCGGCGCCTTCCCAAGCCCGAACGCCTTCAACGCCCTCCAGATCAGGAGAGGCAGCATTGCCAAAAAAACGGAATACCGACATGTGTTGTGAGATTTGTGGCTACAGACCAAAGGGAAACCCTCAGTGGTTCCATGGAAGTATGGCTAAACACAAGAAGCTAATGCATGCCAACACGCCTCCCACAATCTATCCATGCCCATTCCCGGGGTGCAACAGCCAGTATAAAAATCGTCCAGACAATCTACGCCAACATCAAATCGAAAAGGGACATTTTGTGGATGGCCAAGAAGAGTCTACTAAGAGCCGAAAGAGGAGGAAGATGGAATAGAGAGGGTTCTTGTGTTGCCCGCTTTTTTTGCTTTTCTGCTGTTGCCTGTATAATGACGGGCTGGCTTTGGGGGGAACTGGGAGCTAGGATCTAATGATTTATGGCCATCTGCAGGACTCAGCGGGCTCTGGGTTCATGACGGTCAAGAAAGTAGGAGTGGTGGATTAAGTTTGACTGATACATGCGTCAATCGGTCGTTTTGATGACCGCACTTTGTTGAGTCATTGGCTGGTGGTGCAAGATAGAGAAAGGATGGAGCATGGATGTATGACAAACCTGCTCAACTTGGTGGGAAGGGTATTACGGAGGGCTGGATTGACAAGTCTGGTTGCCTGTCAAAAAACGACATGCCGGGTTAATAAATATGCCGACGCCATGAATAATCACCAAGTAGACAGAAGCACCGTTGTGTGATGGGGTATGAATATTTATGTGAGCGCGACATTGGTGACGACTCAAAAAGCGTGCAGTGAAGTGAAATAAATTATCGCGTGTTTGTAACCGGATAAGCTTCTCGCGCAGTTTCCTAGGTCCCTCGTACTTTTTAGCAGTTGCTCCGCAGGGCCAGAGGCGCAAATAGAAAGGATAACGCGCTCTGGAACGAAGAGTCGAGGACAACTAAGCCGGACAGGTAGCTAGACACTGGCAAACCGGAGGCAGGGCCAGCAAATGGCTCTTGATGCAACACAGACGTCGACAATTGGCTCTGGCGCATGGCCACTGTTTTTGAAGTTGACGATTGGACAGCTGGCCCTCACGTCAGACACGGCCAAAAGACGACACGGAGCACGAAATAGCTTTTGCATTTTTGTGCTACATGGTGATTGGCGCACGTCACGTGGTGGGGAGGAAGTATGTTGGCGCTTGGCATTTGCATTCCTGCCAACGCCGTAGGAAAACAATGGAGAAAAGCAGAGAGAACGAGGGAGCGAGGCCAAGTTTTTTTTTTAAGTCTTTATTTTCTCTTTCTTTCAGCTGTTTGGGCTGTTGACTTTGGACTGTAGACAGTTAATCCGTACTTGCTCGCGTACGGAGGCAATTCAAACTTGGCATAGTAAATCGATGGATCCGATTTGATGTCCTGAGCCTGGGCCTGAGTCTGGCGCTGGAGGGCAGGCAGGCGCACAGGCAACAGGGTGGGCAACAGGGTGGCTGGCCCCGTTCAATGCTAGCACTAGAGACCAACAGCAGACCACTTTCCGCCATCGCGTCCGATCAAGCACATCTACAGGAGCTGCTAGCCAGCTTGCCAACTGCTAACCAGCTCCTGGCTGTACATATATGAATCGAGGTTCGGACGGCTCCAAATCTGGCTCACAGGGCCACGCATCTTTGCAACCAGACTGCCGGTGAGAGGTGGTGGGCGTGTGTGTGACCGGACAAGAGGCCCGTTTGACGCTAGCCAAGTCGTCTCGGTTGCCGTCACTGGCGAATGTCATGCCGACCCTTGCCGGGCCATGCTGGGCCATGCCGGGCCCTTGATGGCTCTTTATGCCCGCGGGAACTGCCAATGCCAATTTGTCGTGCTGGGCAATGCTAAAAAGCGCACGTTTTGGCAGAAGGCGATGATCGAGGCAAAAAAAAGCCTTTGGAACCTTGTCGGGCTGGACTCGTACGCCTCCCTCCCATTTGACCAAATTAATCGCCTCACGTCTCCACCCCTCGAGTGCCAGCCAACGAGCATTCCGCCAGACGTGCTGGTGAGTGAGCCAGAGTCCGCTTCTGCCAGTGCCACCTCCATGGCTACCACCACATCTGGACCAGACCAGACATTAACGTTGTGAGTGCGCAACGTGCTCCAATCCGCCTGCCCGCCTGCCCGCCCGCACAACCCGACCAGAATTTTTTTGATATTTTTTTTTTGCCCTTGGGTCTTGCAACACCCGTGGACTGTCTCCCCAGCTCCTCCCTTCCCTCTGCCCACACCTCTCGGGCGCGCACCTCCACGCACCTCCACGCCTCCTCCAGCCCATTATCGACACCCCCAAACCAGGTCCAGGGTTTCCATTGCGCAGCCCAGTTTCTTTTTCAACGTCCATCACCAGCTCAGCCGTTGACGAGGGCTTCAACGACGGCCGAGATCACGACGATACCGACGGCCGACGTTGACCAACAACTACACTCGAACGCCGCCTGAGAGAGAGGAGCGGATGTGGGAGCATCGCCGACGCGTTTCCGACTTGCCCTCAACCACGGCTCGTCCCTCAACTCTCTCTGCTTGGCGACGTTGAGCGAAGCGTCGTCGTCGTTTTTTTCTTTGTTTTTGACATCTTTTTATTCCCTTCTCGTTGTTACGACCACAGAGCTTTGCGTGCCACGCGCCATCACGACGATTTGGCGCCACTGCCTCTCCTGCAGACAGACACACCATGTCGAGTTTGGGACCGTCTGGCTCTAATGCCCACGGGTTAAACTTCTCGCAAGCTGGCCTCAGACGAAGTGCCGCATTTCCTCCAACCCACGCGAATCAGCATCAGCATCAACCGAATAAGCAATCCCCGGCCCCTCATGCCGCGTCGCCATATCAACCACAGGGCTATACGCCTCAGCAGCCCCCCCAAGGCACATATCCTCCACATCTCTTCGCATCGCCGGTGAATCCAAATATCCCCAACGGCCACCCGCCTTCGCGAACTCCCAACTCACACGTACCACCAAATGCCCTCGGTGTTCAGCGACAGAGGGCGGCGCCGCCGAGGCAGCAGATGCCGCCTCAGCCAAATCCGCCGCCCATGATGTTCCCGACGTCCATGAGTCAATCGGTCCAGCATGACCCGATCCTGTCTCATCAACACCAGCAGCAACATCCTTCCCATCAGGGCCACCCTGGCCATCCGAGCCACCAGCAGCACCCACCTCATCATCAGCAGCAAGGGCATCACCAACAACATCCAGGCCACCAACCTCATCAACAGCAGCAGCAGCAACAACAACAGCAGCAGCAGCAGCAGCAGCAACAACATCAGCAACATCAGCAACATCAACAGCACCAGCAGCACCAACAACATCAACAACACCAACAGCATCCGGCACACCCGGCGCACCCGGCACATCCTGCGCATCAGGCTCATCAGACTCATCCAGGCCATCCAGGCCATCCAGGTCATCCAGGCCATCAGGGACGCCAAAGCGTCCAGCCTCACCAGCCTCATGGTCGTTCGCAACAGTCAACGCCACAGCAGCAGCAGCAGCAGCAACAACAACAACCGTCCCAGCAACCTCAACAACAGCAGCAGCCGCAACCGCCGCAGGCTCAGGTAACTCCTCAGCCTACTCCGCAGCAATCAACGCCGCAGCCGCCTCAGCAACAGATACCGCAACAGCAGATGCCTCAACAGCAGCAGCAGCCTCCCCAGCAGCAACAAGTTCAGCAAGTTCAGCAAGTCAATCAGGTACAGGCCTCCCCTCAGCAGCCTGCTGCTCAGGTTCCCCAACAGCAGGCAAACCATGCGGGCAGTGAAATGGATGTCGATGGAAATCAAGATGGAGATGCGTCGGAAGTCAATGGTCTCGACTCAAAGCTTTTAAATGACCCTTCCTACGTCCCCTCGCAGCCTATGGGAGAGATGATGTCTCCCCCGCCTGAGGGAGGAAGCTATCCGACGTTAGAAGCCGTGCAAAAAGCCGTTCTGCGTTATTGCACATCTGTTGGCTATGCCATTGTTATTGGCCGCTCCAAGAAGACGGTTCCTGGCCTCAAGAAAGTCCTGTTTGTTTGCGATCGTGCTGGAAAGCCGCCCAGTAGGGTGAGCCCGGAATTCCGCAAGCGCAAAACATCATCCAGGAAATGCGATTGTCCCTTTGGCTTTTTTGCCATTGAACAACGTACTCAGTGGACGATTCGCTACCGCCCTGATCCTGCGCATCTGCAGCACAATCATGGGCCAAGCGAGAGTCCTTCCAATCATCCTGCCGCCAGAAAGCTTGACAGCAAGATGGTGGCGGCTGTCAAACAGCTGAAGGAAAACGGTACGCAAAAACCATCAAAAGGTTCAAATTCTACCAAAAGTACTTCTGCTGACCATCTCGCAGGGGCAGGCGTATCCGAAACACTCCAAATTCTGCAAACCGAAAATCCGGACTGTCACTTGCTCCCGAGGGATATATACAATGCAAGAGCTGCTATAAATCGAAACCCACAGAAGGTGGCAACAGGACTTGCCGAGAATAGGCCGGCGATATACACAAAACCGCAGCAATCACCGGAAGACAGGATTCGCGCGGACCTTCGCAGAGAGCTGGCAAAGGCGCGAGAGGACCTGCAGAAGATTGAAGAGGAGAAACAAAAAGAAATCGATGCGCTGAAAAGCCAACTTGAAGAAAAAGAAAAGCTCATCAAGAGATTTGAGATGTTTATTGATATATGTAACGAGCGCGTCATGGTTCAACGGGAGAGGCTGGCAGGACCAGATGGCAACTTGGCAATCGGGGGAAACTCGGTTATGTGAGCCCGGGCTACGCCTACTGTTTGTTGCCATTGTTTGTTGTACTTTTGTCGATACTTTTGTCTTGGAAGGAAAGTCAGGTCGTTTTATGGATCATGGGGTCATGGGACTGGCTGGCTAGGGCGGCGTTTTATTTTGGGAGTGTGGGAATGCGACTACTTGTTGCTTTTGCTTTTGCTTGACGGAAGCCTTGGGGTTACGGCTACGAATGCGTGAAAATACATAAGAGATATGGGAGAGGGGAGGGTGGAGGGAAAGGTAGGTAGGATGGGGTGACCTGCGGAAACGAAAACGTGGGTTTGTCTGGAGTTCAGTTGTTTTGCGCCGTTTCATGTTTGGGGAGCCTGAGGGTTGAATTCACATTTGACACATTTTGCCCTGTACGCCTAAAATCCACGACTTTCCTATTTCTCTAGATGACCCTGATGTGATTAGCCATGAAGCAACAGGTGGGAAAACGCCACAGGCGGCGGACGAGATGCGCGGTGTGAAACGACATGGAAGTACGGAGTATGCAAGTAAATATTGAAGGTGTCGATGTAGTGGACCTTGGGT